TGAACTTGGGTATAAACCTACATCCACAATGAATCTCTTTTGTGACAACAAGGCTGCTATAGCCATTGCACAGAATCCAGTTCAGCATGATCGTACTAAACATGTTGAGGTGGATCGACACTTCATCAAACAGAAGCTTGAGGCTAAAGTGTTTCAGTTTCCTTTTGTGAAATCCGAGGATCAATTGGCGGATATTTTGACAAAGGCGATTTCCAGTAAAGCATTCCACAATTCACTGGATCAGTTGGGCATTGGCGACATCTATGCACCAACGTGAGGGGGAGTGTTGGCGTGACTTGTGGATATTGACTTACTTTCCTTACACACCAAGGATTCCTATTTTATTTGTAATTGATTTACTTTAATTCCTGATTTCCTACTGTAAATAGATTTAGGAATTTATTATTTACTTGCCCATTCAGGTTTTGTTGTATTATAAATATGACCTCCTACAAGGAGAAGAATACATAGAAAATTCCCACAAACAAATATTCTCTTATAGTTTTCATATTTTAGCACTTCATGCTGGCAATCTCTCATTTTCCCGGACAACGAACGTATTAAAGTCTGGCCTTGGGATGATTTTGAATGTCCTGATTTTCAAAATCTTATGGACAGATTTGCGAGTGAGTATCAAATTGATAGGGATCGTTGCTCTGTCACCGCTTTTCTAAAGTTTGTGATCAATCGGAGCAGCGGAAATGCTACTGTGCTCAAGCTTCCCAAATGCTGCACAGTAGAAGCCTTTGAATTTGCTGCAAATGTGTAAGTTTTTCATTTAAGTTAATTTTCAAAATTCCAATCCAAGTGTAGTTTAATTTTCCTTGTAAATGTAAATTTAGCATTTTGTTGTGGAAATGGAATGTGTGCAGGTGTCCAGGCCTTGTGACTTTGAGTTTACCACTAAAGTTACTGGACAGTGATAACACGAACCTAGAGTTGATTGGCAAGTGGAAAAATTTGGAGGTGTTATCATTGGGTGCATGCTTAAATTTGGCGCAAATACTTGCAATTATACAAACACATTGCAAGAATTTTTATGGTTTAGATTTGTCCAAAGGCTATGTTGATGAACATCATGCGTTGTCAATTGCGAAGTTGGTGCCCAATATCACGTATTTAAATTTGAAGGGTGCAAAAGTTTATCATGATAGTCTTGTCACATTGCTAAGTGGGTGCAAAGATCTGGTGATGTTGGACGCCAGAGATTGTTTTGGTTTCGATGAGAACGACGATGAAATATCAAAGTTTGCGTCTCATATTAGTACATTTATGTGCGAGGGTTCCAAATTTCCTTTTCGTGATGATATACCTCTTCCTCTTAGTGCACAAAACCCGTTTGATGATGAGATGTGGGATGAGATGTTGGATGATATGTTCAATGATTTGCGCGATGTTCAATGATTTGGGCGACAAGAATGTAGAACTATTTGATTGTACAAAGTGATATCTCATCTTTGTTATATTTACAACACTAATGAGCAATTATGTTTGTTGAGTGTGGTGTGGTGTTCATCTTGTGTTTTTGGACATTGTTACTCTAATAAGGGCTTGTTATAAGTTCCTATCTTGATTTCATTATAAGATTAAGGAATGTAAGACCAACTATAAATACGCAATTTTTCGCACGGTTTATGCTTATTAAATTCTAAAAAGAATTAAGGCAGCCTCTGCTAGGTGGTAAACAAGTTCAGTGATGCTAGTTTTGGCACAATAAGAAGCATTTGATAGTAAACCATAGATTGGGAAACAGAACAATCTCAACAGAGGGCTTCATTTTTAGCAGCAAAAGAAAAGCTTCATTTCAATTCTTCAAAATCTGAGATATGCTGCGAGTCTACTACAGTTGAGTGCTCTATGCAGAAGGCAACTTCAATTTCAACTTGTCCCCTATCTCCACCGCAACAAAAAAAGTGCGGCGGCTTAACACGTCCGCAAGCCCTTCAACCAGTCACTATTAAGGCATCAAAATGAAGTTTCTATTGCTATATATTTAGGCATCTATAAAATAATAAGTATCACAAAAAGTGATGAAAAACATGGAAACATCAAACATCTAAGAAAGATGATGAACCAGAACTCTATTAACCATTCATTCAGACAGGGGACATTTACCTTCAAGAATGACAATCACAGTGGCCAAATCAGAAAGTTGAACTATAATTTCATTTGGCACAACACAAGCACTCTATACTAATTATAGTTTTTTTTTTAATTATTAATAGAAGCGGAAGATTTGCTCTTCGGCCTCTTCTAACATTGTGAAGAGATGGAAGAGCTAGTTGTGAAGATTGTTCTGTGTTTTCTGTTCTCATGTTTAGCGATTGAGCATCGCTTTTGTCTCGTTGCCTCCGACGACGAAGGAGTTGTTCTTATTATAAAAGGATTACCAAGTGCCTGTTTTCCCAGGTTTATCCTCTTTCTATTATTTTGAAATTTATGGTTTTTTTTAAATAAAAAAAATTGGTTTAATTGATATATTGTATACAGATGTAGTTGTATTTCTTCATGTCATTAATTCTGTATTGCAGATGGACGAACGAAGATGGAAGGACTTAGAAGTGGACTGCTTGGTCAAAGTGTTGGATAAAGTTGGAATGGAATCGCTGCTTCTGGAGCCCCCCTAGCAATTCCATTAATAATGCCAAAGCTCTTGGGCCAACAAGTAATCCCGTAATCAATGTTGAGAAGCCAGACACCATCTTCGATTGCCACCAATGAAAGGGGTACCTATAAGAAAACACTCCGACGCTAAATCAAGCTAACAAATTTCTTATGTGCACGCTACACACGGAGAGGCAGAAAAATGCATATTGTAAGAAACAGATAGTTAAAGTCCCACCCTACACCTTGCAAACCCTCTAAGAAAATGGGTTCGGCATACTCTTTGGTTCCATTCTTTTTCTTGTTTTGTTCGTTGTAGATTAATAAACACAACATAATATAGAAGCGTGAGCAAAATATAACTTTTTTCTTTTTTTTTAATACAAGTCATAGTCTAAATTATAAGAGAAGGGGGGGTTTCACACAGACACTTTATCAAGGTGTCATGGAATTCAAACTTAATACTGTTATTATACAAGTTAATGTCATTTTTCACTCGATTACATAATTATAAAATTTTAGAATTAATACAACATACAAGAACTTGTTTGACAACTTTGGTTGGTCCATAAAATCTAGACATTGGGCTTCAAATCATGTCAGTGTGGCACTCAGATTGGCACAATAAATTAGCCCTTTTATTTTATTTTTACCAATTTGCTAAATTAGGCATATCATATCATGTATTGATGAAGAAAGTTCAATGTTACAAAATGCATATGACGACTCTGTCACATCCATTCAAAGCACTCCCAAAAACAAACGAAAATGACTCATTTTCAAACTCAGAAAACTACACAGAATAAGCTCCAAAACATCAACACTCTAGCGGTACCAATTTGTCTGCATATAACTTCAAAAATATATAATAATGATTGCAACTTGTCAACTGCTATTAAAAAATTAAAATATAAATCAACAGAACCAAACCCTGTAATTTATATATATTTTCACGAATTGGGATTCTCTAGTTAGCAGTGAATCAGCCAGAAAATCTCAGCACTGAAAAAGCCATAAGCTACAAACAGATGAACTTTGAGTCTCTAACGTCACCTCCTGAGGAACCGAACCTTGGCGCCACCTGAGGACAATGGGTCCACGACAAAGCCGCAGCCCCAACCCAAACATGTCCATACAAAAAATGTATAAATATTTGCAAAACCTTCACTTCCCAAAGCCTCACCCACACGTTCATACAAATATGTGATCAGAAAGGGTACGACTTTGCTTCAATAAAAATAAAAAAGAACGTTGGCAAGTAGCTACATTTTGACTTCTTAAACCACAAACTCCGACACATATTCCTACCATTTCTTAAAATAACAATTGAAAATCGAAACCAAACTAAACCAAACCGAAACTCTACAAGAAGAAGATTTCAAACTCGGGTCCATTTTATTATGAACAAAAATTCAACCCATATGGTTCTGTCACAAAGATTCCACAAGACAAAAAAGAAAAATATATTTATATATATCAAAGTTTGAATTGAAATGAAACAAAGATTTCTTTTTTTCTTGTTGTTTTACAGCATATGAGTTCCAATGCAAATATATTGTTCACCGTCTCGACCACGGTATCTTGTTCCCGAGCCTCAAAATTAGACAATGCTGCACAGTCTCTCACACCTTGCCTAGTACGTCGTCTCTCTCTAAACAAAAATTTCTTCTTAATTTCTTGGTCTTGGATAATTAATTACTGCACGAGGAGAGTTGGACTTTGGAAAAATAATTAATCAATTATTAGTACTCAAGTCAAGGACTCATTTTGTTAATTTAATAGTAACCTATGTACTTCGCTTTTCTGCTGGAGGAGGAGGAGGAGGAGGAGGAGGAGGAGGGCTTTTGAGGTTAGAACCGTTGCGATACTGACACGTGGCGGCGTCTCAGGTGGGGAGAGACGATGGAGATGAGCCCGCCCAGTGGGGGCCGCATCTTTGACCTGTATATCATTTCGTCGTACGGCCTCCTGTAGAACTTCAAAAACGGGACGAACGACTCCCGCGACTTCTCCGTCTTGCTCACGTGGCATTCCTTGCTAGTGCTGCTGCGGAAGAACATGGCAGGTGACTGGAGGAACGACGGGCGTGGGGTCCGAGGATGGCGAGGGGTTCTGCTCGCCTCGCTGCTGGTGCACCGTTGGGGCAGTGGGGTTGACGGGAACAAGCTCTTCCTCGTGGCCGCCGAGTTGCCGTAGCCGTGGATGGTTCCACGTGGCGTTCTCGCGGCTGGGGATGCAAAGGAGAACGACCGAGCGTTTAGCGGAGAGATGAGTGCGGGTCCCAGGGGGGAGTGACTGGTGGGCCCTACTTTGGATGCTGACGTGTCGGTAAGGCTGAGGTACCAAGGCTTGAGGGAATCGAACTGGTGGTGAGAAACAGTGAAGGAGAAACGCGAGGACGAGCAGGAGCCGATCTTGGCCGTTGATTTGATTGACGAGGGGTCGAATCGTAGGGACGAGGCTCGCGGGTAGTTTGAGAAGTCGTTGAAGTCCAATGACTCCTCAAAGTCTAGTGATGACACCACCATCGTAGCCGTAGAAAGCTCCACAAAGGGTCGTACGCCCTACAAACCAATAAAACACATCCACGTTACACTCAACGCATTTGACTTATTAAATTGTTTACCATGTATTCACACAATGATCAGTAACAATTTGCCAACACCAAAAACAAAACAACGTTAACATCCATGGTAAAATGTTGGAATGACTTGGAGAAATTAAAGTATATACGAAAAACTTCCGGGCGGGATTCCTTTGTCGTGACAATCGGGTGCTAGTCCGACTGTCGTAACCCACACACAAACGGGGATCCTTCCTTGAAGCTACTTGTGTCATATATTGTGTTGATAGTGTTTTATCTAAAGTCCAAGACCTTTTTCATAGCAACACCTATTTAATCTTTAGATTTTTACTGTTCCTAGGATTGTAATCTCTGAAAGCAAGCCCTAGCAATAATTGTGGCATAATTTGAACCCATGCAAAAGCAGTAATAATCAAGAGTTGATGATGATGATGATGATGATGATGATGATGATGATGATGAGCATCCCCCACCAAAAAGAAGTGGGAATAGGGTTGTCATTGACTTGTTTTTGAACACTGCAACCCAATTGGATGTGACCTGAGCCTTAAAAGGATGAGGCTTATAGGTGGGGTTTGTACCCAAAAGCAGCATACATTATGCACAACTAGTCAAAACAAAAACAGTGAAAAAAAAACACACAAACACAAACCCAGCAAGCTCAACAGTAACATTGGACTTTTTTTACACCAACCAACCAACCAAATTTTAACTCATTTGTTTTGAATTTTGATGAACATTTTTACCTTCCAGAGATAAGAGAACATAGTGGGAGGGTCAATTACAAAGGCCTTGAACAGCCGTCCTGGGTAGTACTCTGCCGCAGTTTTCAGTGCTGCCAGCAACAAGTTCATAAAAGCCGAAGCTGATCTGAAAAAGCCTGCAAAATCCACCGCGACTTTTAATAAATAGTCAAAATTAAACAAATATTATTAGTGTTAATTACATGCATAATTTTGAATTATAATTGTTAATTGGAAGGATAAAAAGTGTTTTAAGGGTCTCTGGCGAAGCAGAAAAAGTAGAATCCTGGCAGGATCAATATATTTAAGGAAGGAGCAGTTTTGGGAATTGACCAATTCTATGAGGGGAGGGGGAGGGGTATAAAAATTGATACTCCGATTCCCCATAATGCCCCTGCATTTCTGGACCACTTTTGAGGGTTTGACAGCGACACCTGGGGGGCACTCCGGACAATTTCTGATGATATCTCAGT